CAGTAGAAAAATACACCCAGAACCTTACAAATTATACAGAACTGAAAGTTACTTTATCATTTCACATTGCTTTGCTAGAAAGCTCTGATGATAGACTCTGGAAAAGGTTCCAAAATCAGGTTTTTTCCTATGTCTTTAAACAAGGACAATTTCACGAGATATGAACAATATGGTTCTTGTGTACAACCTTTCCTCTGTTTTACAAGACACAATACATTTCTTCAGTGCATGTTTCTGGGATGACTGACTTGGTGGCATGTCATCCAGAGCATACAGATCCAGGGAAAGTTACGCGTGTCCCCAAGGAGCACAACAGGGACAACATGGACTGCTGACAGAGATAAGAAGCCACATACCAGATCCTGCAGAAGAAAGACACTACCATGGTTTTGTTGGAAAGATTACTGTTGTCCTGATTTTTCTTAAGGAATTCACTAAAGCAAAGGAAAGAAAATAAAGGAAAACACATTGGTTGATGGACTTCAAGTACAGTGAGCAGAATGTGAAATTGGGACACATTTGCCAGCAAAACTAAAACTCATCTCTGCCAGACTCTTGTCCCTCATTAAACAAAACTTATCACAAAGAATCACTGAATATTTTAATGGCATATTTGTGGAAATTGTGTAGAAACTAAATTGTGATATAATCATGGAGAAATATTATGAAATATTTGAAGGCTGTAAGATATGCCTGTGGTTTTCACCGTAATGCCTCTTATGACTTTGTAATAAATAACCTTTTGATCACTGAGAATTTTTAAATTATTATTATTAATAATAATAATAATAATAACTAACAATTTCCCTTCATTTCAGTGCTAAACTCATGGCAAAGCAAGCAAATTGCTCTGCACTTTGAAAAAAATATTCTCCCATATTGTGTCTTATATTTTGTTCTCCTATTTCTCCTCAGGGAATGAAATAAGGGCTTAGGGATTGCCTGGAACGTAAACTATTTTCACTCTTCCCCTTTATTAATTCTTTAAAATGCAAAGTATTGTCATCTTTGGAAAAGTTAAAAAGCAGAAATAACATATTAACCACAGTAATTTTGCACTCTTCAACATCCTTGCTTGATGAGGCTTTGTAGTATAACAAGCTGGCAAGCAAAAAAAAATAGTATTTCATCTTCCTCGAGGGTAAAAAACTGGAAAAAAAAGAGGAATGAAGTTTTACATCAAAAATATGTAAAATAATGAAATCTATTAAAGAATGCTTATTTCATGCTCAGTACTAGAAGCAGCAGCCAAATTTCAGAATTTGCTGCAAAGATGTAGGTCTGGTTTGTTTTGTTTTTCCATATTTGAAAGAAGGGGATCATTCCTAGAAGAACTATTTTATTAGTCTCTGGTAGCCAGGACCACCAGTTCTGGGAGCTGCTGGAGTAGCTCTGGAGCGTGGGAAGCAGTCCAGAGCTGGCTCACCATGCACAGGGACTAACAGCATCCATAAGTGCTTTCTTGGATCACTGCCCAAAAGTACACTAATTGTTTCTAAATAGATCCAAGAAATGAACCGTTGCTAGTTGGAATCACTTTCTCGGTGAAAGAACATGTTTCTTTTTCATCATCTACATATTTGTGTGCTTTGGAGACTTGACAACAGAAAAGAACAAATTTGGATGAGGAGTTTAGTGCTGGGCCATCTTCGTATAGTTAATCATACAATAGAATCATGGAATATAACGGCTTGGACTGGAAAGGAAAGACCATAAAGATCAAGTAGTTTCAGTTCCCCTGCCATGGGCAGGGACATTTTCCACTAGACCAAAGCCCCATCCAGCCTGGCTTGAACGCTTACAAGGATGGAGCATTCACAGCTAAACTGGGCAACTTGCTCCCATGACCTTCAATTTCTTCCTCTAAACCTGACCTCTTTCCATTTAAAGCCATTCCCCTTTGTCCTATCAACTATGTGCCCTTTTAAAAACTCCAGCATAGATTCATAAATAGGTTGATATATTCCAAACACGGTCATTCCCATTAAATTCATCTGTGCCACCTTTCCTTGTCATGACCTTGTGTCAGGAAAGTCTTGACTGAAGACAGCACTCATGGATGAGTGATAAGGGCAAGAACATGTGCTAGAGCTCCAGCAGGAGCAATATGCAAGAACTCTTGAGTGAACAACATGTTTAAGGCTACCTAAAGTATAATTGTTGCAGAGATAGATTTAAAATATTTTTACTTTTTTTGTTTTTGTTGTTAAGAGGCTACCTTTTAGCTTATGTATTTGACCTTCCCTTAAAAGCACTGCTAGGGTTACTGGGGTAAGGGTTACTCATATGCTTCAAGTCTGGCATGCCAAAATACTTTGTGAAATGGGTGGAGAGTAACTTTTAGATTTGGTTTTGATTGGGTTTTTTTTAATGTTGGCATTTTTTAAGGATTTATTATAGTATAATAAAAAGAGAGAAAAATTCTTTTGTCTTAGTTTTTGTGATATTCCCTTAAATACAGAATCTTGTGGTACTATAAACTGACCTTGGCAGGTTGAATTTGTCCCTATATGGCCAAGTGAGGCAATTAACTTCTCAGGTGAATGTGTTCTGCAGCTGCAGGAAGTATATTAAAATTCTCACAGCAGCTAAACCCCTCACAACTCCATTGACAATTGCCAGCAGCTTCTAGGAAGAGCTAAGCAGCCTCATTATAAATCATCAGGTGAACGGAATGAGGTTCAGTGTTTAAAGAAAATCAGAATAATAATTTCATAAAACTGAAGCACAAAGCCCAGTGGAGAGCAAGAATTAAGAAGCAAGTTATTAGATTTTTAAGCAATCATATGCAATAAAGCATCTGAAATATTGTTTTATGATAAATAATATTGCCAATGCAAATCTGATTCATTCTAATGGCTACTGTAATTAACTGCATGGTGTGTAAGGTGCTAATTTTGTGGATGAATAATTGGTTAAAACAAGTTTTATGTATTGCAGTGTAATATGCTTGTCCAATTTTCCACTTAATTTCAATTAATATGGGTTTTACATGTACTCCACTGTTGCAGTTTTTATGCCTATTATTTTTAATTAGGGAAAAGAAATACCTTGGTAGAACAGAACAAATGAGCAGCACTGTGTGTTTTTCCAAGTTTATTTTTTTCATTAACATACTTCAAGTTGGTATTGTTTAGCCTTCCAAAATGTTAATAATCACTGCTCCTAAGGCTGACTGGAAATGGTGGTGCCAGCTTCCACATAAAACAGAGGGGGAAAAGGAATCTTTCAGTTCTCTCATTTACTTTCTGACCTCTGCACAATGTTTTTCAGTTCCAACTATGTGTTTGATTACCCTTCCTGGTGTTTCCAGTGCTGCAATAGATTTTAGTGATTAGAACAATGGGATGATGTCATTGTTCACCACTGAAAAGGTGTTCTTGTATGCAGTCATAGCTGCTTTACGGCAGAATTGATCACCAGCTGGAGATTCTTACCCTTTTCCAATAAAGATGCCTACCCATCAGAATGGTTTCTTGTCTTCTGGATGGATGTTGTTAAACTAGATGAGTGCCACCCTGGGAGTCACAGATTAGCCTTCACTTCTTTGAAGAAAAATATTGTCTGTGCCTCAATCTTCTCATGGCATAAAATGCATCTCAGACTGTGCTGCCTCTGCAGCTCAGATGGGCAGGTGTGAGCACCATCCCTGCCCCTCACTAATGCCTCTGTGGCAGGCAGACTCTCATATGGAGTGGACAGGTTATTTGCACTCCCTTTACTCTGGGCTGCCCACACAAGGGACCCCCTAGCTCCTAGGGTCACCGCTTGGTTGCTAAAAGTAGAGCAAATGTTCTAATAGAGCTTTTTGTTTCTCCTGCCTCCAGAGACAAATGTTTCTAGGTGTCAGATAAATATCCAGCACCATTGATGCAGTTGTTTTATCTCTGACTCTTCTCACTTCCCCAGTATTAAAGATCTTGTGGCCAGAGTGCAGCTGGAAAGAAAATCTCCAACCCACTCTTCCTTAGTTCGCCTGGTGCTGTCAACAGAGGAAATCTGTGTTAGTAATAACAGTGTGATATAAAAAATAAAGATATTCAAGGTGCTGCTGAATTTCTTTTCTCTGTGCATTTTACAGAAGCATAAATAGAGAATAGAAATGCAAACGTCATGTTTTGAAAGCCAAAAAAAAAAAAATTTCACCAATTCTGGCTAAACAGAGTCATTGCCTAACCCACACTGTCAAACCCTTCACAGATATTGTAATGTGTTCATCTGTATTGCATTGTTATCCTCGCTGGGTAAAGAAAGAAGAGCAAGAGACATAGAAGAAATATTGGGGGGAACTTCTGGTACAGAAAAGGGATGGTGTCTAGGTCATTCTGTTTGCACAGGATTAGCTCCATGTCTCTGAAACAAAAGTGTTTTCATAGAATTATAGGATGGCTTGGAAGAGACCTTAAAGATAGTGTAGTTCCAATTCCTCTGCCATGAGCAAGAACACCTTCCGCCAATCCAGGCTGCTGAGAGCCCCCACCCAACCTGGCCTTGAACTCTGCCACAGATGGGGCATTGGCAACTTCTCTGGGCACCAGAGTTCACTGATTTTCCACAAGTGGAACTTTTTTATAAGGTTTCTAGGGAATAAACCTCTTATTAGCATTTACACTTCAACCAATATTTCTGAAGGTTTGAAGAAATTTCTGCAGGTGGAGAGAAGTTTCTGAGTTCCCTAATATATTGTGTTATAGTGCATGCTTTAAAAATGCACATAAAAGAGCAGCACTTTAAAATCAACATACGTGAGGTGAGCTGATGAGCTGCAGAGAGAAATATATCATCTGAATAATACAATATTTAAAGCAAACCTCTACTTTCCTTTCTTCATTTTTATTCTAACATGGTCAGCATGTGTACCAATAAAAACATCTTTTATGAGCTATTTAAGATATTTAAAATACCTTTCCCACTGTTAACAATTAAGCCACCAGCAGATGTCTGAAGATCTGGCTGTATCCCAGCCCAATTCACTAAACCCTCTGCTTGCTCCCTGACAGGCCAGATGACTCTGAGGACCCAGCATGTTCAGGACTCCAAGATGGGCTTTGTAATCAATGCAATATACTCCATGGCCTATGGACTCCACAACATGCAGCTGTCCTTGTGCCCAGGCTACGTGGGCCTCTGTGATGCCATGAAGCCCATAGATGGTCGGAAACTCCTGGAATCACTCATGAAGACTAACTTTACTGGGGTCTCTGGGGACATGATCTTGTTTGATGAGAATGGCGACTCACCAGGAAGGTAACGCTGACATTTGGCAAACTGTTTAATAGCAGAGATGATAACAGCGCATAGTAGGTGTGCAACAGAGCTAAGGTCTCATACTCCTAGTTTTATATTTCCTGATTCCTGTGCTTATTTTGCAAAAATAGAGAGTTTTTTTTAATGTGCATTTTTTATGGCATTTCAAGTTAGAGATGTGGGCTTTCAGGTGCAAAAGCTTCCTGTATTAATTTGCATTTTTGTCTGTACAATTTAAAAGTATTATTACTGAAAACAAATTATCAGACTTTTATGTTTGTAGACCATGATGTCCACCACATCCTGTTTCTCTCTTTATGTGGGACTTTAAGTGTATGTGCTTGGTTGACCTATAAACAATCATAGCAGACTTAGTTCTTCCATTAAGAAAGCTAAAACAATATCAGCAATACTGTACTGAGGCATCTGGGATTTTCTTTTAAATCAGAATTGTTAAAAAAACTGCTTACATATATTCCAAATGAAATCTTTCCACTTGCATAACGCACTAAGCTATCAATCCATACTGTGCTGCTCTAAGAGAAATTGAATTTAAACAAAGCTTATTTTGTTGGCAGCATGCATAAATATGTATACATACATCTACGAAATATAAGACAAATTTCTCTACGACACTTGCATCCATAGAAATGCACATTGGAAACAGTCTTGAAGTGGGGATTTTTCTGGGTTTCTGCCTACTGAATTTTTAGAGGAAGAACAGCAAGTATGATATTATCCAAAGTATATGTACTTCCTATATTTTGATGTATTTTCTGCCTTGTTCACTGCTTTTGCTCTGGTATTGTTTGAGATAACCCATTATGTCCACATTATTGGAAGGTTTTAAACATCATTGTTATGGTTCCATATAAACATATGATTAGAGGGAAAATTTTTATACTATATACTCATTTAAATTTTGTCTCCTCCCACTAATGTGAACAAAAAGGAAATCAATAACTTCCTAGTAGAAATGGGTTGGAAAATTTAAACTCATTGGTCAAAATATTTTGACATTTCCAAAAATTTCTGCAATTTCAAACCTGATTTTTTTCTTCATTCTATTTGCAAACCTGTAAATTCAGCATTCTCCCCAAAAGCAGGCAGGACAGCCACCTACACAGCAGTCTGTGTCTGTTTCTGGAGACACAAATTTTCAAATTCTTCTGAATCAGACTTCAAGGAAGGGCACTGTGAGCTAGTAGAACTCAGGCACAAACTGGCAGAAACCTAGGAAAATTTCAGATGGAAATTTATTTTTAAAGCATTTTTAGCATGAGCAAGGCTGTCTTCTGCTAAATGTTTCTATTTTTACAAATAGCTGAATTTTGTAGAAAGGTGTTAAGTCTGAATTTTTCTGGCCAAAGTATTTTTAAAAGACATCTCAGACTTCTTTAAAAGGGTTTCTTTTTCGTTTAAAGGTGGTCAGATGCAGTGGACTGTATCCTACCCCATTCCAATCAGTGTCTTGTATAAAAATGACTGTGACTAGTGAGTGATGTGTGACCTGCCAAAAATAAATATGTGACTTGACAACATCAATAACAATATCTAAATATTGCAAAGAGATCTTTTGCTTTTCTCTTCCTCATGTTGTCATTCTTAACAAGAATAATTTAGCACCATTTGTTGCAATGAATTTAATTGAATATGTTGGATATTTTTAAATTCTAAGAAAGATGATGAGGAAATTCTATCACGTGAAGTCATTTGCTCAGTCACAATTGGACATAAGTATTTCCCTGAAGAGCATGGGGACACCATGTGGAATGTGTACCTCAGGATAGCCCGCCCAACTTTAAGAAGGTCCAGCTTCCCTGGATTTGTGTGATATTTGTGTCTACTCAAACAAATGAACTGTGAGTGGTTACAAAGTGGTACCAGAATTTGTTTTCTTTTGAATCATAGTTATTTGTCAACAATAGTCATATCATTAAATCCAGTCTATGTGCTTAAGTCAGACAACATTGAGTCAAAATGTACTCTTTCATGATGAAGATTTTATAGGAAGTTCCATTTCTATTTTACAGGTTTTGAGTAGTATATAGTCTTTTAAGCATTGTCAAACGCTATTTGCAAGAGCTTGGAGATGGTGCAGTCATACTGGAACAACTCACTTGCCCTGTTCCCTTGCACTGATAACTCCATCTTCACTTTGCAAAACAGGAATTTAAATCCTCACAGCTGTACTGTGGTGGTGGTGTTAAGCAGGAAATCAGAACATAAAAAGCCTTTCTGACCTAGATAACTCAGGATTTTAATGTATAGAAAAAAGGTTTTGATATTATATAACAGATGATTAATCCGACAAGATGCTTTGAATCCTGACCCTGTTTCAAAGTCCTTTATGTGTATGTTGAGTTTTAAGCAGTCTAGTGTAGGGCCTGTTTTATGTGAGTCAGGAGACATGGAAATAAAAACAAAGAGTATGGAAGCCATGATTCCTCAGGAAGATAACAATTATCTTAAAAATACTATCAAAACTCTAAAGAAGAAATTGAGGAGGGAAGAACAGGCATGAAAAAACCAAGATGCTGCTGTTTTGACGGTGCTACCAGCAGAATGTGTATTCCTAGCAACATCATGGCACTTCTGTTTTGAAACAAGTATTTTGCACAGTGATTAGAGCACTGCTGGAAATGTGCTATTGTACCATCTGGTCTCTCCTATCCTAAAGTGACAAACTGTCCCTGTATTATCTCAAGGAACCTCCAGGGAACCAGTGACTCATGAGCCTTCACTGTAGCATTGGGCTTACTGAATCTGGCTATTTCTACCCATCCATCAATGCTGCTCTCCACAGAGAAGAGAAACAAGACTTATTAAGGCAATACTATATTAAATTTGTTAGGTTCCTTTCCAGTATTCCCCTTGTGATGTATGCATGGAACTACTGCTGGAGAGGATCATTGGTTTAGGTTCTGTGGCCTGTCAAACACTGGCAGCACTTTTGTTAGTCTGTCCACGAACCCCTAAACTGAAATCTTTAACAAAGTTATACTCATGGGTGTGTTGAGTGTCTGACATTGTTGAATAATGGCTCTACTGCGGCTTCTGTGCTAACTTTTTGGTTAGTCTGTTTAATCCTTGACAAACTGTCACTATGGCTGTGAACCTCAGGAAAGAGTTAGTTTACAACCATGTGCACAAGTCTGTTTCTTTGGGTTTGTGCTTGTGTTATCTGGATTCAATTATTTTGTGTCAGTCTGGCATTCATATCTCCAACTTTGAGATCATTGTTGAAGCTGTGGACATTTCCTTCTTTATAAAATATGGAAAGTGAAATATTTCAAAATGTAGAAGTATAACAAATTTTTCATTCTACATGTGCTTGTTTCTTTTTCTTTGTAAAGATTCAAGAACTATGTAATGTGTGTAACATCACATTGTCCATTCAGTCAGACTCCACTTTCATTTCCTTTTAGAGGCTGCTTACAGTCCTGATCCTGCCCTGCACGTGATTTTGGCATTGAATCCCTGCTGCACCATAGTTTCTCCACTGTGACAGAATTTTTTATAATGTAAAGCATCTTGAGATCAATAGATGGACAATATTATAAAACAGTTTTCCTGGGTTTTTTTTGTTTGGTTTTTTTTGGGTTTTTTTGCATCAGGACAGGAAAAATATTGATGTTAGATACAGTATGGCTACTGCTTGTCCATCTTAAAAGCGTTTCCTCAAAATTTAAGAGAGATATCAATGTATGTGTTACGGTTTAATCCCAGCCAGAAACCAAGTACCTTGCAGATGCTTCCTCAGTCCTGCATCAATAGAATCAGGGAGAGAACTGAAAGAGCAAGAGCTAGAAAACTCATGGGCTGAGATAAAGACAGTTTAACAATAAAAGCAAAAGCCATCAACACAAGCAAAGCAAACCAAACCAAGAAATTCTTTCATTTCTTCCTAGGTAGGCAGGTGTTCATCCATCTCTAAGAGAACAGGCCCCATCATGCATAATGGTGACTTGGGAAGACAAATGCCATAGCTTCAAACATCCCCTCCTTCCTCCTTCTTCCCCCTACTTTATATATTGATAAACTGAATACTCCTTGAGTCACTTGGGGTCAGCTGAGTCTCCTCTGAACTTCCTATTCATTCCCAACCTCCTTGCCAACTTGACAGTGCAAAAAGGCCTTGGCTCTGTATAAATCCTGCTCAGCAATAACAAAAACATCTCTATACTATAAAATGTTTTCAGCATAAATCCAAAACACAAACCTATACCAGACGCTGTTAAGAAGAAAATTACTCCATCTAAACCCAGCAGGGTATCTTACTAGAGAGATTGTTTGATTTAATGAGAAGGTTATTTTCCTCGTTTGTACACTGAACTTCATAAATTACACTCTTACAATACCACTCTTAATGCAACCCTGTCTATATGCTTTGCCTTCAGCACTAATTTGGTGCTGACTGACAGGAAAAAGATGTCTCTTTGTTTATGAGACAGCTTTTTAAAGTCAAGTGTCATAACCTTCTTGGTCTACATTGTTTTCTTGTTTGCCTTCAGTAAATTTCATATTGCTTAGACATATTAATTCTAACTCCATTAAAGAAGAGGCAAAGAAAAGCATGAAAAAATTTCTTCAGGAGCTGCCCAACTTTTCAAACATGCCTTATAAGACAGGGCTAAAAGAACAGGAGGCTTGTATGGCAGAAAGGTGGGCTGGTGTTCAGCTGTAGGAGAAAGTGAGTCCTACGTGGCTCCACAGACTTTCTGCAGGAGTGTGGGAACTGAAGAGAAAGTAGGAGGAAGAGGAACATGAAACTGAAAACTCTGATGAGCTCTATCTTTGACCCAAAAGCAGCCTAGGACTGAGTCATGAGTACTTTTTCTCTTCCGCACCATACTTTACAAGGAATGGAATGTCTTTCAATCACCAAGGAATTGCATAAAAATGATTATATAGATTGGAAAGACCAGCATTTAATGATGCAATGTTGGAGAAGAGAAAGGGGAAAGAAAAAAAAAAAAAAAAGAAGGATTTCTGGACTCTGTGCCTCAAGAGTGATGCCTGATTCCTTTCTGGGTGCCACACCAAATTTCATCTTGCAGTCTTAGAGCACAGGAGTTTGTTTCCTTTGATCACACAGAGGTTGCTTCTACCTCACTTTGAGAGTTTATCTACCATCTTCTTCCCTCAGGAGAGGAAGCAGCACACGCAGACAGTGAGAAGGACATAAGAATTATCTTTATAGGTTTAGATGACTCAACATCTGCTATAGAGGGAACTGGGGCTCCATATGCTATTGGCTTCCAGGGCTGAAAAGTAACTTTTAGATTAGCAGATTTAATTCTCTTTGACTCATTTCATTGTTTTCTTCAAATAAATAGTCATTCTCAGAAACACAGTCAACCCCAAAGTGTTCAGGGAACATTTTATTGTGATGGAAAAAAACCCCAAAAACTCCCAGAAATAAACCCAAAACAAAACTTAATAAAAAGCAAACAAAGAAAACATTCCAACACCCAACTTAACACACAAAGGAAAAGCAAGATTATGATATCACAGAAACTATTGTGAGATACTCAAGGGTATTGTACTCATAATTCTTTTTTTCTTCTTCATTTCAACATGCTTGATTTTTGACTGTATGGTATTCCTTTAATTTGAAATATTTCATGATGTTCTCCTCAACTCAGCTATGTCTCTCCTTTCTGTTTCCAAAGATATGAAATCATGAATTTTAAACAAATGGGGAAGGACTACTTTGATTATATCAATGTTGGCAGCTGGGACAATGGTGAGCTGAAAATGGACGATGATGAAATATGGTCAGAGAAAAGTAATATCATCAGATCTGTGTGCAGTGAACCCTGTGAAAAAGGCCAGATAAAGGTAAATATTTTCTTCATTTGCTTCAGTGTTGCAGTATGCACATCCTTGAAATTTGAAAGCAAGTTTTTTCTTGACTTCTACATGGAGATAGTATCCCACACTTAAATTAAAATGTACAGACTTACGTATTTAATTCTTACTCTTATCATAATCATATCACTATTTTAATAAGCTGTCATTTTCTTGACTGTGCTGTCTGTGGACTGTTGCCCTTTATGCTTCCTGCAGAATCGTTAAAATACTGCAAGTCCGTAGCTTACCTTGAAGTCATTTATGTAAAAGCCAGTGGAATGAGGAGATGGGCATGTTCAACCGTAAAAAAAATCAGGTGTGAATTCTGACAAGTCTCACTGGAGGCTCAATTTTCTCATGTGTTAAAACAGCTTGACTGAAAATTGGGAAGCAGCTGCAGAGAAGGGCTGGTGGGAGCATGACCAGTGTCTGCAATACAAAATTAATCTCTTTAGCCTGAGTTTTACAGAATTTTAGGGCACGGTCACCCTGTTTAAGTCACTAATTAGTCTTTGGCAGATTAATTTAAGTGGGTTTCATCAGACTGATTGTATTTTTCTCCAGTGTAAACATAAGGAATTATGTCAGACTTATGAATAATATGCTATTCCAGATAAGGAGTCATGAAAACAGTTAAGATCAAGCTTGGTGTAGAACGACTTCTATCTCTTCATTGACAGTAAAAGACACCCAGACGGGACAGTTGGTTCTGATGAAAACACACCTTCTGCAGACACATAAATGCAGGTGTGAGCACGGTCGCTGAACTCAGGTTTGTTAGCCTGCTTCAGGCACAGTCACACGCAGGGAGAACAGAGATGGACAAACAGCTAACATCAGAACTGTGTGTCTCTGAGCTCCTTTATGATCTGTTGTCACAAAACAGCTGAAGGGAAGTATCTTGTGATCTTCATTAACACAGTCACCTTCCACCTTCTGCCCACGCTCCCAGGGATTCTCTCAAGACGATCCTTCGCTACGTAGCCAAGTCATCACACACTTAGATATACGCTTGAAATCTGGTGTTGGAAATGTTCTGTTTGCTCCTCATTTCGTTATTGATCATAAATCTCAGAGTTTACCTGACAGTCTTTGTCTTCATGGTCTTCACAGATGATGGTGGGACCTTGACCCTACCGAGCTCTGTTGTGGTTTTCCTGCAAATTTCTCTGTGACTGAGTTATTATGCAGGGATTTAAAACATTGAGTATAATGCTATTCAACATTCAGCTAGAGTGGGGGAATCCATCCACAAGATCTGATAAAACCCAAATACAACCCAACTCTTTATATTTGAAAGAGTGTGGACATATGATTATTTAAATAAATACAGGTTCAAAGGATTGTACAGATGACAAGGGGAAAGGAAAATAATATTTGTTTTAAAGATGATTATTTGTCTTAAAAGGGACAGAAAAAAATAATTTACAGTTAAGTGATAAAACAAATAATTATGCAGGAAATTAAAAATAAAATGAATAAATTGGTGGCTAAGAAATTTAACAAAAAAATGTCTGACTTTACTCTGAGTCATGAAGAACCATTATCTGATTTCTAGAGGAGGATATATAATCCTTCTCTGGTAGTTCTAGGTAAGAAATTATCAATGTACCAGTGTCCTGATTTATTTGTCAAATTCCAAGTATTTTACAGAAGATCTTCATTGACCAGAAAGTTACATGGAAAATGGTAAATTAATTCTTCATATAGAATTTTAGGTGTTTTGATGATAACATAGGGTTTTTATTTTGCCATTCAATTTTCTTGACTATTTTATAAAAATAAAATTATGGATTTTTATAATGTGTCAAGGTAATAAAGATATACTCCTTAAAATTAGTACAAGCTTTCTAAAAATTTATTTTCCCAAATACAAAATAATTGTCATTTTTTTCAACTTTTCATTCTATTTCAAAATGAAAGAAATCCCAAAATTTGGTTTATTCTGGAGGAAAGCTATTCTGTTTTGCAAGTTTCTTTAGTCTCAATTCTTGCAGAATAAATCACTTATGCTCTTCTAGCCTTTCCATCAATTTAACTGCTTTGGTGTCGCTGGTTTTTTTTTTTTTTTCATTCTACAATTTAAATCAAAACAAATTAAAATCAAAACAAAACCAACCAAACCACAAAATTTGAAAATTTTCAAGTCCCTATATTGGTGATGAAAATTAGATAATAGAATTTGTTTTTCACTGCAGCATTGCAAAGAGCAATTCCATTCTTTTTGATTATGCTCTTTTACATGTTTGGTTTTTTAATTAAAATTCCAACAAGGACATTTGGCTTTAAATGCACTTTCTGAATTCATCATTGCAAAAGATAAAAGAGGTCAACCTATTTCTTGTCCTACAATTGGAAGTATTTGTTTGTAAACTGTTTGGGAAGAGGAGAGAAACTGGGAATACTTTATTTCAAAGGGAAAAACATATTGACAAGAAGCACAGATGTTCCCAGAGATGATAAATAAGGGTCTTTAAAAATCTGCATTCAATCATAAGCATGCAATAACATTTGGTAGTAAATTATGAAATGAGTAATCAGGTCAGATGTTAGAATGGAAAAAGATGAGATTCTCACCTTTAAATGTTAATTAGAAATGCAGTAATTAAATAATTCTGGAAAAAGCATGTTCAGTTTGCTGTCTGGAAAAATAAGTTTTTAATAAATCACTCACTATTGGATGAAAAATAATCACTCAAAAGTCTTTAGGTAACCAACACTTAGGGACATAGTACTGTTGACATGTTTCTCTGTATGGACCGCCTTGGAGTGAATTATGTGTCTTCACTATCATGCACTGACCTCTGTAGGCACATTGAGATCTATGGAGCTTTGCAAATTCTAAGAGGGAAAAAACCTCATCTTTTTTGTCATCCTGTACTTACCCTTATACTTCTCTGGGATTGGTGGATTCTTTCCTTTGGTACCTACACGATGGGAGAACTAAGAACTTTCGTCACATTTTATCTTTGAAAACATATAATGAAGAGGAATAATTAAATTTCAAAAACTCTTCTATTCAAAAAAAATACATTAAAAATTAAATTAGCAACTGGGTGAGCACAGATGTGTGTTTATGCTGCTAAAATAAACGTCAATTTTTGTCTCAGGTGATCCGTAAAGGAGAAGTGAGTTGCTGTTGGACCTGCACTCCTTGTAAAGAAAATGAATATGTCTCTGATGAATACACGTGCAAAGCCTGCCAGCTTGGCTCCTGGCCCAATGAGGAACTCACAGGTAAATGAGTTGAGGTTGTGCTTGTGTTGTCAATGAAAATGCTCATCTAATGAGCTGAAGAAACAACTGGCAGACACAGGTGAGTATGAGGATGGTTTTGGTCAGAGGGAACATGGGGATAAAGCTAGGGTTTGAACTGAAGCTGATATTTATCTCCTGAACCTAATCCAGGAGTTATTCACATAGCTCAACTCCTTTCTAAAGACCTGAACTACTAGATCTTGAAACAAAATAATAGGTCCTGGTTTTGTATTCAGTCCTGCCCTAACCTCTAGCTGGTAATACAGATCTTAGCCTTCCTCTACAGAAAATAAATGCTTATCTTATCAAAGAAATTATTAAGAAATATTGAATTTAGAAGTTTTATTATCCCTCTAAGCAGAGGAATACTGCACTACCTTCTTTTTTTAATCTGACAAAGTTCTGATTTAGTTTCTGTATTTACTGCTGCTAAGAGCTCGAGTTCTCCAAACAGACTTTGGTTTGCATTAGTCCTTTGTTCATCAGAGTCTTCTAGAACACAGTGTTCATCCTTGGCTTAGACCTCTGTGCTCTTGCAGAATACCAGTTAGGCTTCTCTGGAGATAAATTACTCCAACATTGTATCCCACAGCCCCTCTTCTTTATGACTAAGAAACAGAATTCAAGTATTCAAACGCTCGGAGCACAAACCACTTCAAAACACTGTTCAGGGATCATGTTCTCACTGTGCCAGGCTTTATATAGACAAGGGGAGAAAAGACAGGTTGTTTTTTTTTTCTAGAAGAAGTCACAGACCTGATTTGCATATAGCTTCTACAGATGAGGGGAAGCACTTTGAGGTGTGAGGGAAGACAAAGGAAAATGCAGTTTGCTGCATGAATTTATGTAAGTGGGAGAGTGTAAGGCAAGGCTTGGCCTCTAGGCAGATTTTTATTTAGAAAGTTAATCCTTTCCTGTTTAAGGACTGTTGCATTGCTGTGATAAATGAGCTTGGCTACCAAATTATTGCAAGAATATTATTTAACCATTAAACTCATGTGGTACTTTTCAGAAAATGTGAAACATTTTCCCTAAGAAAAAGAATCTTTCAACTGAGAAAACTGGACTACCAGTAAAATGGACTTTCCAGTTCTGCTGCATCTATGCTCCCGTAGCCCTGCTCCCCCAGTTCTGCCTCCCTGGGCAACCAACAACCAGCCAGCAAAGCCTTCTCTCTTAGGAAAAGATTTCTTGTGTCAGGAGAATGGAGGAGGGGAGAAAAGGAGAATAGGCTGCGTGTTTCCCCAAAAATAGAGTATTGAGGGTGCAGTTACAATGTGGGGTACACTTCTCAGAAGCTTCCAAAGGCCACGTTGCAGGCACCAGAAATTACTGCACCAGGCTGGTCAGTTCATGAAGGTCAACTAATGCAATTGGTCAGCTCTTCAGCCTCCAGGGATTTTGTCTGAGATATTGTACATCCCAGCCCAGGCCCTTGTTCAGATGAGCATCTGAGGTTTTACCCAGCATAGATCAGCTAAAAAAGGAACCGGTGCAAGTCACTTAGGAGGGCATATGTTCCAAGTGCCAAGAGAGAAGCCAGAGAATCAGTGGTGGGAAGGAACTGTCCACTGACTTGGTGAGGTTTGTGTAATTAGACACTAAGCACCATTTGTAAGGCAAAGTGGAGTGACTAGGCCCCAGGTAGACCATCAGGCTCTATGCTTTGAGCTGGATTCCCAGGACATACAGATTTCCATGGTTCAAGCATGGTTCACTATGTCACTGAACATTGTTCCATGTTCAATGACATGATTTTATGGTCTCCTGGGAGGCTTCACCCTCTGAAAGTCTCACTTTGCCCTCACAATGGAAAAGTAAGATGGATTGGCCCCACAAAAGCTTTCATAGGTTGAGTTTTCCACCTATCAGTGATTATTTTTAAGGAAATCAGTTGTATTTTTATTCAAGCCGACAGATTTTTGCATTACATGAGTAAACATTTTGTTATTTGCAAAATTACATTTTACAAACCATTTGTCTGGCTTCAGACATGCATTTTATGCCTTTATGGGGACCAAAATCAATCTGTACACAAAGGAACCCTTGACATCAGTGCCAAGCAATATTCCTCAGGAGATCTAACACTTGTTCCTCAGCCAGGCACAAATTTGGCAGACCCTACTTGGAAACCAAGCCCTCTTTGGCCTCCATGAGCACAGCGTGTGGAATGTGCCCTCCTGGTAATAGGACACCCATCTCACAACTCCAGAGCTGCCTGGTCCCCACTCAGTTCATTATCAGCATGATGGTTGTATCTTGCCTTATTTCACTTTATATCACAAAGGGATTTTAAGAAATCTATTGCCAGCCCATCTATAAAAACAATGAGCTCTATTTTTAATGATCATATTCCTAGCACCAACTTTTGCACTTATAAAAAACCTACCTCTCAATCTTGTTTAAAACATAGGATTTAGCAATAAATGTGCATTAAAAGTAAGGAGAAGTTGGTGTATTTTTTATTCTGGCAAGGAAATTTCCTTTGTGTTTATTAAAGTATACAGTAATCTCCTTGAAGTGTCCCTACATCTGATACTGCAGCATACTAAGTCTCTTTTCTGCTTGATAAAGCCATTTCCTAGGAAATGTCAGCTCCACAAGGGTACACATACAAAACCTCATTAGAATAAGTCTTCCCTGCATGATCACCTTCAGATGAGAGTCCTGTAAATTTATCAGCCACACACCTGAAATGGCTTTCAACATGGAGCTGCACCTCACTGTTTGCCAGAGATCTGACCTTGGATAAAAACTTATTTGGAATCCTTTCTTGGCTCACATAACAAAACACTGCTTACATCTTTCTTATGCTTAATGATCAGCATCACTTTTGTGCCACTAACTTTAATAAATAAAACACATAGTGGCAGGGATGTTACTGACAGAAAGGAAGACAGATCAATGCACTTTTTCAGCCACCTATGGAATATCAGAATTCAGATGCAGCAGGGAAAAGACAGAAGGGTTGCAATATCTGTAGGAAAACAAATTTATTCTCAGAACAGAAAATGACATTGAAGAGCTGAAGTACAGAAAGGTACAGGGAATCCAAAGGCAGTGGAAAAGGTAAATGGGAACAAGAGTTTCTCCTGATTAAACCAGTTACTGGAAAATATCTCCACCTAGAAGTGAAGGTGAGGCAAGAAAGAGAATGTTAACTGCCCATGTTTTATTTTGTCACAAATTTCAGATTGCTTTTGCATGCAAAATTCCCCAGGGATCAGGCTCCTCCTTGGACAGAAACCTAGTAAGTTGCTTCCTTTTCTTAAGATTTATATGTGCTATCCCAACATGTACCAGAAGTAATCTTCTTCCTCCTGGCCTATTATCAAGTCATGCTTCCCAGTGAGCTGTAGCCCCTCTAAGTCCCCATGTGTTGTGTTGGCAGTATCCATCCAATACAGCACCAATTAACACACTAATGTGGCCAGCATGGCTGAGCCACAGACTCAGCTACAGCAGGAGGAACTCAGTGGTTGAAGTCCAGAAGTATATGCCAGTCACTCCTCTCTTCCTCAAAACTCTTCTTTGCATTCTATTCACAGCAGCTGTAAGAGAAATAGATGCCACCCAAGTTTAGATACAGGTGGAGGAATTTTCTTAGTGCTGATGACCAACAGTAATGCTGATTTTTCAGAAGCTTTAGGAGAATCTGAGGATGTGACCTTCTGCAGTCAAAAATGATGCTCTAAGAAGATCAAATAAATTTTGTTCAATGTCCCAGAGCTTTTCCAGTGTATGTAGGAGCATCTTGGTTCAGTTACCAGTAACATTTAAGGACCTTTTGAGGTGAGAAAGAAGTAATTATTCTGTCTTTCTGACATTCAAGGACAGCATACAACAATACAAAAACCAAAGTTTTGTCTAGTGACTTCAGGAATGGCAAGAAAATCAGATTATATTAATTTCAGTGACAATTGGATTATTTTCAGGTTGTATTGACATTTTTCTCAGTCTCTGTGTATTTCAAATATGCTGACTATTTGATTTTCTTAATTGGATTCCCATGAAAATAGGAGCTTAACTATTTACACCTCTTGAAATGTTTTCTTTGCTATTCAAGGGTGAGAGTATATATCAGAAATATTTATTTTTTCTATAGCTACAAAAATGCTTTCACCAAATAAAGTACAGTAAAGCCAGGATAACAGGGTAATTTTACTGCCCATCTGGAAGTGACAGATAAGAGACAGATTATCCAAAAAACCCTTGGATGAAAAGGACTGAAAAATGTGTGTGGTAGGGTCTGAGTCTCAGTTGTCTCATAAGACTGGATTCTGCCCCTCACTCAAGCAGAAGGTGATTCATCTCTTGCCTGAAATATTTTCAAAAGGTAACCGCTTGCTCCCATCAGGCTGCTTTCTTGTATTCCGTCTTGCAAAAATGTTGCAGCCATGGGTGATTTCAGCAATTGTCTGACGCAGGTCAGAACACAATCTAGTCTGTGCTGACATTGATTTTTCTGCTGAAACATTACTAGGACCTTGCTTTTTGATCATAATTGTTAAGGCTATAATTGAGGCTGAGGGTAGGAGAACACAATTTTCATGTGGTTATTTCTAGTGTTATAAATGCACATCAGCAGAGATGTCCTGTTTTCTGCGCCCTTTATTTCTCTTTCCTTTTTATTTCTTACTCCAAAGGAAATGTAACCATTGCCATAAGTCACTTTCACTCTATTCCTCTTGGAAAAGGTGTATGTGGATGAGTTAAGGATTCAGGTGGCAATATTACGACCAGGATCTCATTTTCTGCTCCCCTGGTTCTGGGTTTGCACACTTTTCTTTCCCCAATTGCTTGTTGCAGATAGAGTGTTAACTTCAGCTTCCAGTCCAGCATGAGCCACACAACACTTCTGGCTCAAGCGAGCTCATGCAATATTGCTGAGCTCAACAAGCAGCACTTGGAGTCTCCCTGGCTGGATGAAGAGGAACTCGCCAACAAAGCCAGAAGGATCCACTTGTAATTGTGCCTTA